CCCCAAAACCCCAAAACCCCAAAACCCCAAAACCCCTTGCTCTCTAATAATAATTAATATTATAAATGGGAAATAGAGGGACTACTAATGCTAACTCTAAGAGAGTTCAGCAAGAAGATGTACCAGTCTTGAAAAGCCACAATAATTTGAGAAGAGATAGCTTATGCCTCAAGAAGATCAGAGGAAGCCCTGGGGATGTATATTCCCTCAATTTTGTATTCTCATGAACTTTTGATTGAATAATTACTATACAGCTCTGAGCAAGTGAATTCCGTAGTGCTGAGAAGGATGCCCCAACACTTTACTTCTATACTCCTCCGGAACTTGAGAATGGGTCTTTTCAATATAAGTTTTCAAAGGGAGCGATACATGAGTTTCCCGAGAAAGCGTTCACTTTGGACTTCAATAAATACGATTTAGAGGATATGACCACTTACAAAGAGGATGAATATTGCCCGATTGTGATCACTATTGAGAGTGACTACTCCTCACTCAGAAATAATAGACCAAGGCAGAAATATCCCACAAGTTTACAGGCACAAGTGACTTATGCTTATTTTAACTAAAAATAGTAGAGGCGAGTACAATATTTTGATAAAAAAGCAATGCTTACTATTCGATAAAAATATTTTTAAGATAGAGGATATTTATGGATTCGAAAAACAGGATGATACAGGTGACTTTGGTGATGAATCTACGAAGGAATGTATTATTTGTTACACAAATACTAAAAATACAGTTGTCTACCCCTGTAGACATATTTGCTTGTGTAATTCCTGAACTCAAGTAGTGAGAATGCAGAACTCTAAATGTCCTATCTGTAGACTCGAAGCAGAGAAATTTATAACAGTTGAGATTGATAAGCAAGATGCAGAAGAAGAAGTTAACCTTTACTCTTAGAGAGTTTTAAGTTAACATAAGAGACTGTAGTGATTTAATAATTTCTATTAATGTTTAAGATTTTCATTGTACATCTTGTTAACATTTCTTCTGGGCTCTCTAAAATTCTAATAATCATGTTCTTGATGAAAAGTACGTATCAGATGGAATTTAATTTTTCTATTTTGTTCTGTCACTCAATTCATAGCAAACAATAGGGGTTTTGGGGTTTTGGGGTTTTGGGGTTTTGGGG